TCGCGCCTCAGCTCCGGCTGCTGTTGAGTACGGCTTAAGTCCACGCACGCAGTCCGTCATCATGAAGTGCACAAAGCAGAGCTCGACTTCCGGTTCCGGTTCGCCGACAGAATCCTGCAGCGAGCAGAGCAGCTGCAGCGACTGCGACTTTCTCTGCAATTGGCACGATTGCGGCAGGTGAGTGTCCGGCATTCGATCGTGTCCCTTCCAACAGCTTACTCATGTTGATTTCTCCCCGGCCTGTGTGCAGAGTTTTTGAATCTTTGGAGGCGCTGGCACAACACGTCACCTTACGTCATGCGATCGCCTCGCTGCTGGATGGCCTCTATTATTGCCGCTGGAGCGGCTGTCAGCGCAGCGAGCGCGGCTTTAATGCGCGCTATAAGATGCTCGTCCATGTGCGCACCCATACCAAGGAGAAGCCGCATCGGTGTCATCTGTGCGATAAGTCCTTCTCGCGTGCCGAAAATCTCAAAATCCACATACGCTCACATTCGGGCGAGAAGCCCTACAAGTGCCACTTCGAGGGCTGCCTGAAGGCCTACTCGAACTCCTCGGATCGGTTCAAGCATACGCGCACGCACTCCATGGAAAAACCCTACATGTGCAAGGTGCCCGGCTGCCAGAAACGCTACACAGATCCCTCCTCGCTGCGCAAGCACGTCAAGACCTTCAAGCACAGCATTCAGCTGATCCAGAGCCAGACTTCCACCTGCATGCTGGAGGGCAACGAGTCGTCCTACACTTGCCTGCCGCCGGCACAGCCGCAGCCGCAGCCACTGACCGCGCCCATTGCCGCACCACAGCCAGACCCCGCCGCACCCAGAACAGCCTACTACTTGGACCTGGCCGATCGTGACAACGTGGCAAGCGACTATACGCTGCGACCCAAGCACAATAGCGAATATGCCAGCACAGATTACTGGCTGAGCACGCGGGAGCACAACTATCGTTATCTGCACAGCGAGGACTATTCTATGGATATGGAACTGGACTTACCCACGCCGCTTGATCTGCGCGTGCACAGAAGTTGAATGCCATATGGTGAATGAATGCCATTCACTCTAGTCATCAGGCTAACACACTAGCTCTTGTCATTAATGTTAGAATTATCGTTTAGTTTTCAATAAAGACTGTTGTATGTAATTTGCATTGAATTGCGCATGAAAAACCAACGAAACTTTATATAATTTTCCTCTAAATAGTCACAAATTTCCGCGCACTTTTAAATGCCGTTATACTGAACATATGATAGTTTAACCAGTACCGCAAATGCAAAAAAAAAAAACAAACAGTGTTGTGTAAGCACTGTACAGCGCAGCTCAAAAGTAAATCGATAATCGATATGTTGGCCGCACGCGTCATATTCAAATTGGAAGCTGGCAGCTGTTCAAATAAAGGGTGTCGATTTTATTGATGTAAATGCGCATCTAAACGATATTTTTAGTTTTACAACTGTGTTTATCATATATTCCATCATTTACAATATATAGGAATGTTATCTTAGCTACGACTACAACTCGATCCATACACACACGCATATTAACAACAAGAAAAATGGTGAAATAAATAGTCAAAAAACGAGTTCACAAATTAAATATGCTATATATATATATATGTAAATACATACTTTGAAAGTTGTATATTTCAATTTGCAAACATACTGAGGTCCTCTTTTCGAAAAGCAATTGTTTTATTGCCAGCGTAAGAGTTATAAGGAAACAAACAAGTTGTTATTATTCAACTGAAGTTATTGAGCATTTAAGACCCAGTAACAACGGTATAAATAGCACAGATTGTGCTTATATTTTTGTTATTTTTGTGTATAATAATACATACTTTCAATATGTACACGCACAGAGCAGCAAATCACTTGGCCAGATTCTCAACGCTGGCCGCCAATTAACCAGATTTCATAATACATTACATATACTTTTTACCATTAAGCAAAGCTATGGGCTGTCATTTAGAATTACGCCCTAAAGAATCTTACAACTCGTACAATGTATTGTCGACAAATCGGGCACTCGTTTAGCACCTTTCCGCAATTGGTGCAGGTGGCCATATGACCACATTCCAGAAAAACGCACTCAATGGGCGCATCCATGCATATCTTACAAAGTTCATCCGTGGCAAGTTTCTCAACAGCTGTACATATATATGTGTATACGTATATAGATAATACAGTTTTGATGTATACAGAAATATATAAGGACTTACCTGGCGCTGTGCGCATAGTTTTCCATAGTCTGCAAACGCGATCGAGCAGCTCCTGTTTCTCGCAGCAGCCTTTGTAGTCAACACGATGCAACATTAGAACCTCCTTTAACTGTTTCACCGTTAGATTCTCCAAGTCTTTTCTGTGAAAGATACATTGGAATTAGCAATATTATGAATGCATGTGCCTTTCCACTTACCGATCCTCAAAGTCTTCCAAGTTCACGAAACGTGAATCCATGCTGTTGCCCGGCTCAAAGCCCAGGGACGAGGCATACACGTGAATGCCCTCATCATCCTCCCAATGCGTTTCGTTCTCATCCTGTGTGGGCGAGAACTCAATCGTTGGCGTTATCGGCAAGCCGGCGGCACCAGCGCCCGCTATGCTGCCCGCATCTGTGCCGCTCAGCGGCGAGATGGCATGACTGTCCGCTTCGGAGCAGTCTACAGACTTGGTGCGCTGCTCCAGGTAACTGAGAAACTCTTGCAGCTCATGCTTGATATCCTCCTCAGACATTTGCGAATTCTCCAAATGTCGACGCATCCTGTCCACATGTCGGCGAATATTTGTTTTATTCTTGCCACACCGCTGACAGCTGCTGCTGGAGGCCGCGCCTGGCTCAGGCTGCTCGTTCAGTGTGCTCAATGCCAATCCGCTGGGCGCAACTGGCGATTCATCATCGCTGGAATGATGGCGACGATTCAGGTAGCCGTCGGAGCGACGTCGTGTAACCTTTTTAGTGCGCTGCGGCGCCTGCGGCACCGTGACTGTGCGCTGTTCAAAGCTAGGCGCCTCGCCAGGCACATCCCGCACCGTCACCTCCAGAATTTCCTCCGTAGCTGCCTCAGCTTGCGTGGGTGAGCCCTGCTTCTGCTGCAGCGCTTGGCTGCTGCTGCTTGGCGCAGTTTGTTCCAGTATTTGCCACTGATCCAGGTTGCTGCTGTTGGTATCGGTTGCCGCTTTGCTCTCGTCTGAAATGCCGCCAATGGCGCCCAGCTCCTCGAAGCTGGACTGCGACGAGGCGTCAGCACCGCATGCGTCCACCTTGGAGCTAAGCGAGCCCTGCTTGGAGAAGCCAGGACTGGTATTTGTGGTTGTTCCTGTTGTGGTCGCAGTTGCTGTCGTCGTCGCACCCAGACCCGCTGTGCTTGTCTCCAAGGGTGGCCTGCTCAGGCTTGCCTGGCCAGCGCTGTTCTCGCTATTCTTGAGCGATGTGCGTTCACTGAACGTGGTTATTATCTCATCGTCCGAGCATTCACACTCCGAGTTATCACGCTCAATATTGTGCAGCATCCTAGCCGCTTCTGTGGCCATCACAGACACAGATTTGGGCTCCGGTGCGGCTGTGGGCGATGTTGTCGTGTGCGTGGACGAGGTCGATGGACTGACATGCACATGCGCCACCTCCGTGGAGTTGGTTCTCGCTGTGGCTGGGGTTCGTACAGGTGTCTGCACTTGAGCTGCACTCGCATACGTTGGAATTTCGCGCGTGGACACACGCGGCTGCTCAAAGATGTGCGTCGGCGGCGGCGGCGGCGACGATGACGACGACGTTGCTCCATTATCATGGGAAGCATGTCGACTGTTCGCCCGACTGTTGTCCGTCGTTGGTTTAGTATTGGACTTTGTGTCAAAGGACGCTAAGGAATCACTGATATTGTCACTCAGATTGGTGAAAAAGTTTTGGCACGTTTGCTTCAGACTGTCCATGGGATTGGCTTGGCCACGTCCGGGACTATTGTTGGGCGGCCGGCCCGTATCGCGATCCGACTGAGCGACATGTGCCAGCACCAGGCCGACCAGTTCCTCTTTCTCTGCAAGGCGAACGCATATAGATGACTTCTATTTATTTTGTTTTTGTAGTGCGGCTGCAATGACTCACCCAGGCAGCCTTCAGTGGAAATGTGTTTGGATTGCAAATAGAATATTAAATCTTTTGGCTTTAGTTTCAACAAATCCGCGTGCAACAGCGGCCTTTGGGCAAATATTGCACAGCGCTGGCAGCGGCGCGCCGTCGTCGCCGTCAAGCAATTGTTGCAGTAATAGCGCCTGCAAAGCCAAAAAAAAGTAACAACAAATCAATTTGAATGCCAATTTACGAATTATTGTTGCAAATTTCGATTGGGCCAACTTACCTGCAGTCGAAACAGCTGCGTTTACGGCGAAAGACCGTGAACTCAATGCCACAGCTCTCGCAGGGCATGTTGTTGTTCTTGTTGGTGTCCTTTCCACTTTCGATCGACCGTTTCCGTTTGCCCGTATCCTTGCCCTTTGCTCCTCCTCCTTTACGCCCACAACACCATTGCGTTTGTGTTTTCAATGTCAAATCGTGAATCAATTTCACGGAACGCGCAAATTTGTTGGCGTAGCTGCCGTGCTGAGACAATCCGCCAAACAGCTGAGGTAATCGTTTTAGGCAACTACTTACTCATCGGGGCCTATAAACTAATAAGCAAGTGGATTTTTACAAATTTTTATCAATATGCAGTAAGTACGCACGTACATACACACATGTATGTATGTACATGCGTCTGTGCACAATAATCAGCACATCACTGGCGAAAGCGATAGCCATCAACAAATATCGATTGCACTATCGATAACGGGTAATCGGCGACTGGAAAGTCAACCGCTCAAAATTACATATTTAATATGGTTTTAAATTATTAATCTAAAAAACAGGCAAGCAATTAAAAATGTTTTGATCTAATATGGAAGAATCATAAGCAAGCTGGCATTAGTTTGGTTTATGTTTATTTAATTCACATCCACTACTTAGAACTAAGTATGTAAGTGTATGCAATTAAATAGTTAAGTGCCATAAAATGTTGCAATCTTTGCATTTTTGTTTTTTTAAATAATACATCTGTTAATAGCTATAATGTATAATTTATACGATTTGTTGCACACATTGAAAACATGTTTGCTCTTCTAGTTGAATTAAGTCATTTAGTACAATATATATATATATATATATATATACACATGCGGTTTCGTATGATTGAGCTTTTCGAAATTCTTGTTGATAAGTCTTTAATTTATAAACAAATGCGTCCGTTGCCCTTTTTAGCTGCGCGTTAAATGTTTGCAAGGTAAATTATCATCTAGCTGGCTGACTGGCTCTGTATGTGCATTTGTTGTTGTTGCAGTTTTTTTTTCTTTACATTTTTTTTCTCTAATATTATTGTTGTTGTTGTTGTTGTTGTTCGTGGTGGTTGTGAATCATCCAAGCAGCGCCAGCACCGCATCGTAGATGTATGACCGTTGGCCAGAACCGACTACAAAGGTTTTCTAAGTAAACAAAAACAAAACAAAACACAAAAACTAACAGCAAGATAATAGATAAGAGAGCGCGCAAATGAATAACGTGTTGAAATTGTACTGCTTTAAATTTCTATTAGCGAGTTGAACGTTGCTTGGCCCTAAAAAACGATTATGTGTGTTTTGGCTACTGGGCTGCATCTTTAACTATGACACGTGACGCGTATCGCCGCCGGCCTTGACATGGCTCTGTAATGGATCATCATTGTTGTTATCATCATCGTGGACGGTCACCTCCAGTGCACGATTCTTTTCATATTCGACAAAGTCATCGAAGAGACTTGGCCACGCTTCGGTATCATCATAATTTTCTATATCACATTGTTCAGTAAAATTGAGGTACATGTTCCATGTATCCTTGGGTATGCGGCGTATGTTCGGATGCTTTTCGAGGAAGATTACCCAGTTTGAAAAGAGATCAGGTGTTTGTACAGTGAACACTAGTTTCCACAAATCGATTGCCATTTCCAGCGACAGCACGCGCTGATCTGGCTCCAAGCCAAAACTAAAAATCACATATAAACATCAATATAAATGGATAATTCAATTGTTATTTAGCTTGCAGCATACCGAAACGTAAAACGATAGAGCTGCTTAAACATTTCCGAGTCAACCTTAAGCATCTCAATAGTCTGTTCAAGTCTTAAGCGTATGCTCGCAATTGTATCCGCCCGCATCTTGTGCAGGCCGTCAATAAATTCAGTTTTGGTGAAGCGGCACATCTGTGATGCATCGAGGCACCAGGCAAGCACAAGTATTGCAAACTCATCCGGCTGATAGTTAAGATCATTGCACAGACGCTCAATGCCATCAGTGAGTATCATATCTTCATCGTCTGGATCTTTGTAGATCTCAAATAGTTTATTTAGCGTTTGATCTGACACCTCCATGGATTCCTTGACCGCTGCAATTGTAATAGATTATTAATAGCTTCCCTTTAAATGTGTGCTCCAACAATTACCAGTTGTTATAATTTCGCTCATGGTCGGCGCACTTCCATTAAGCAAGCCTAAGGACTTAAAACTATTACGCTTAGTATCACAATTATTTGCTGGCTTGAGTGGAGTTCGATTAGAGAGCAATTCATCGGTTTCTGCAGATATATAGATCGTATAATATAGGGCTTGCATGGAGCTAAATGTGATTCGCTTACCGCGTGGCCTGTCGTTGTATATGGCGCAACGTTCATTTGCATTCACCCCAACGATATCGTAGCAGTTGCCAATGCTGGTGGCCGCTTGGCAGCTGTTGGCGTTCAATGTGTGCGATGCGTTTGGAGATGAGCTGCTTGTTGGCAATGTTGGTGCGGCGGACGACGACGACGACTGGAAGCATTTCAGGCAATTGCCCATAGTGCGCTGCACGCTCTCACCAGCGGGCCCTTGGACTAACAGTATTTCCTTGGCTGCTGCTTTGATTTATGTGTAGTATATATATATATATATATGCGTGTGTGTGAGCAGGTGTTGACACTTGTTTCTGACTGACTGACAGTGAGAGGTATCCGTATCCGTATCCGTATTTGTATTGCCTTTTAACTTGGCTACTGGCTACTATGGGCTATGGCTATGGCTATGTGTGTGTGTGTGTGTGTGTGGACCTATTGAATGTTATTATTAATTACTTAGCTAGCGTTAGCTCGCCTTGACATTGACTGCTTGACATTGGCACTGGAATTTCCATGGAACGTTAACGAGCTGTTGCACGCGGTTATTGATGCAACATTGATGCATCGAACATATGGTGAAGAGTGCTTCCTTGTTGCTGCTGCTGCTGCTACTACTGCTGCTGCTGCTGCTGCTGCTGCTGCTGTTGTTATTTTGATACCTCCTACGCAAACTCATGTGTATGTATTTGTGTATGGTGTATACATACATATGCAATTGTAGTAGTCAGCAACCACCACAAATGTGCGTGAATTCGTCAGCTCAGTGAATTTCACATTTTACTTTTGTTCTGCACCACATTGCGATAGCTATTTAACACAGTTTCTTCTGATTGATTATAATATTAATATTTTTGTTTTGTGTGTGTTTCACGAGGTTTCGTTTTTCTGCACAATTGCTGCTGGCCTTAAAATAACTATCGCAGCGATATATCGATAACATTTAACTAGAGCAGGGCCGTGGTCGTGCACAATCAATGAATAAACAAGCAAATTGCTTTCGATAAATCAATTAGATGTCATACAAATTTTGTTTTAATTCCTTTATTAACTATAGAAATTTCTTTTATTTAAGGACTGCCATTAAACCGAAGTTGCCTGCATTTAGTTTTGAGTATTATTTCGCCTACTTTCTGAGCTTTGGTTTTGCGCGCAGTCTGGCAACTCTGCACATAATTGCGCGCTCTCTTTTGGCCATTCCCGCTCGCTTGCTCCCGGTTTTAAGCCAACTTCAGTTTCAGTTACCAAACAGTACGCGACGCAACAGCACTCGCTTAATCAACTGATCGCAAAAGAAAAGCCAAACAACTCTTGTTATTTATGTTTTGTGTTTAGCAACGAAAAGTGTCAAGCTGTTGGAAAACCGTTGCGCGTGTGAACTTTGCCAAAAACAAAAAAAAAGAAATATCACAACAGACATTCTGTATATAAAGTAAATGGTTGAGTGCCTCCGCTCATAGTTGGTTTTTGGGCAATTCGAAGTCAACAAACAAGGTTGAGTGAACTTGTTATTGGGTATGTGTGCGCCGCACACACATATGCAAGTAATTTCTTTTGGCCAAGTTTATGTGACCAACTGTATGTACATTATGATCGCGGGCGCGCGCGCGCGCTTGCCTGTGTACGTGTGTGTGTGTGTGTGTGTGTGTGAACTCCAACCGGAACGTGTGTAGCTGGAGCTTTTCTTTTCCTTTTCACTTCACTGAAAGTGTCAGCCACACATAGCTTTTTTTTTTGTATGAAAAGCGTGTGAATGCATTTAAAAAAAAAAAGTAAACAATTCCGTTTTGGGGTCGATTTCTTTTAACATGTACTTGAGCTCGTAAGGTTCTCAGTTCGACCCACAATTAAATATTGATTGGAAAGAAATAATTATAAACTATTTAACTATACATGGTTTCTGCCATTTCAGACATGCGCCTTGGTATGAAAAGGTCATCGAAACTGAATCCACCGATTCCGTACGCGATCCTATCGCATTCGTGCTTCAGATCGTACATGCTGTACGTTTGCCTCGATTTTCCGGTTTTCATATCCTTGAAATTGACCCATGTGATTTCGTTTTCCATTTCCGTTTTGCAGAACTGCAGCCATTTCCTTCCTTTGGACATAGTCTGGCTTTGCAGGCGATGCAATATGGGCTTCCTTAGAATATTCTTCTTTTTGAATGTCATCGTTTTGATTTGGTTCAGATCCGTTTCCTTCTTCCAGAGATATAGGTCCGTGCACTTGTAGGGCTCATAAAATGGATTCTCTTCAATGGCAGCGCATTTGATTTGTTCTTGACGACGGGCTTGCTTAATTGTTAGCTCAAGTTGGTTCAGCGTGAGGGCCAAATGTTGGTCTATTTCCTCGGGCATGATTTGGGTTCAAAGTAAAAAATATATATGGAATGTTAAAACAGAAATACACAAATGAATGTCTGTGAAGTCAACCGGTTCGAATGTGACTTGAAATATTCTCAAAAGGCTTACTTTGCCTTAGATAACATACGATTTCTATAGAGTCCGTCTCAAATCAACTGGAATTCGGCTCATTTTCGCGAATGTTTCGATTGGCCAGTGTTGAAAAATGCCACATTTTACCGTAAGGTGTTTCCTTGCAAACTGTTTTCTATGAAATTATGATAGCAGGCTGATTTATATGAATGCAGAATATATTCCATATGGAAACTTGCTTTCCAACTCTTGTCGCAACGTATTCCGAGATTTTACCCCCTTCAATTTATACTCCGAAATTGTCATCCCTCCAACTGTTTGCTTTTATTTACTAAAATACAATTAAATGAATTCACCCCATATGCCCATTAGTTTTAAAATATATATGCGTTATGAACAATATGAAGTTATGCTATCAAATCATTATCGCTGATCTTCAGTGTTGGCTTCCAAGAGGTCTTCTTGATATCCTTGAATGTTACCCAATTCATATCGCTCTCCATTTCGAGCCACTTTATGCCGTTCGACTTGATCTGATTCTGTAGGCTCTGCAAGTGCGGCTTTATAAAAAGGGTTTTCTTTTTCAGAGCTTGCTTTTTGACATGTTTGCCAGCTGCCTTCTTAAGGCTGTCCACATGGCAGTTGGCCTGGCTGAACCTCTTTTTCGGAGCAGTCGAGGCGCATTCAATGGGGTTCTGTTTCATATTAACTGACATTTTCTTTTGGTAATTGTAGATATTAAAGAGTATTTGTGATTTGAACGTATACTAAAAAATATATTTATGCTGAGAGCTCCGTCGCATCTGAAATATTGTTCTATTGTGATCGTTGAAATATGTATGAAAGGGTTACTTGGTTTAGGTTTAAAAGCCGGCTGCTTGGATGATATTCAAGTTTGTCATTGCTTGCATTTATAGGCTCATCATAGTTGGTAGTCTATGGAAACGGAGCACAGATAAGAGGCGGCGAAAATGTCTTCAGATCGATTTCACAAGTGAGTTTCTGATGCCGCGAAACAAGCAATTAATATTGCTAGACGTATTATCTTATCTGCTTTGCCCGGCACAAGTTTCAATTTAACTGAATTGTTATTTCCAACAACAACAGGGCCGCCAAGGACGGGCTGCTCGATGTGCTGAAGGAGGCGACGCGCAAGGATGCCAATGCCAAGGACGATGACTCAATGACGCCGGTAATGTGGGCGGCATTCGAGGGACGACTCGATGCGCTGCGTCTGCTCTGTGGCAGGGGGTAAATTGAACTTGTTTGCGTAGGTTTCGACTAGCTCAAGCTATACTTTAATTGTTCTTCGGCAGCGGTGATCCCGACAAGTGCGATCAGTTTGGCAACACGGCGCTCCATTTGGCCGCCGCCAAGGGTCATTTGCACTGCGTGGATTTTCTTTACAAATTCGGCGTTAACATTTACGCTTTGGACATTGACAGACACAATGCCAAGGATCTGGCGGCCATTAACAATCGGGATGAGATTTTGCGTTATCTGGACGCAGCTGCAGCCAACTTTGAGGCAAACGAAAAGTGAGCGCGCGTTTCAAATTTCGATTGCAGTGTGGTAAAGTGCTCGATAATAATCGAAAGCGTGGTTATCGATCACTTGCTAGACTGTGCGCGCGATTCGATTTTGAGTTGCATTTTCACCTTTTAAATGTTTAAACAAATAATAATTATATATGTTATAGAAAAAAGTCGAAGGCGCTTAAGGAAATTGCGGAGAAGGAGTGCGAGAAGCGTGTGAAGGAGTACATGAAACGCCAGCAACAGCACAGAGATCTGCAGCCAAGCAGCCGTCAGACTCTGGTCAGCAGCAGCAAATCCAGCAACATGCTGTCCACGCTCAAGCAAAAGATTTGGTCCAGTCAGGGCAATCTGAACAAGGCGCCGCGGGAACAGTCTGCATCCGCCCACCAGCCACAACAGCCGTCGCGTGTCGGCGCCAAGTTCAGCGATCTGGTGGGCGGCGGCGGCGGCGGTGGCAGCAGCAGCAGCAGCGGCGGCTCCACTATAGCCAGCCGTATGGGCACCGTGCAGAAGAAGCCGCCGGGCAAGCCGCAACATGCCAGTGCCTGTCCGCACGCAGCGCCTTCCGATGGTGGGTTCAAGGTGCGCGAACTGGAGCCGGATGGCAAGCGCACGATTACCTCGCTGACGGGACTGCAACGCGACTCGGAGGTGCTCTATGTGGGCACGTTCAGCTCCACGGAGGATGGCAATGGCAAGCGCGGCAAGATCGCCGACGTCTTTGAGCTGGACGCGGATGGCGGCGAGCGCGATACGGGCCGGCTGGGCTACAGCGCGGCGCTGTCGCGCAGCTTCTCCCAGCCGGATATACTGGGCGATGCGCAGCTGGCGCAGGAGCTGAGCGAGGAGCTGGTGCTGCAGCGACCCATCGGCCTGTTCGATCGACCCACCATGCTGGGCAGCATTGCGTTCCGGCGTTCCGTGACCGCGGCGCTGAGTCAGCTGCAGCTGCAGACGGACGGCGGCGACAGCATGTCCAGCTCAACCATGCGGAATGCGAGCAGCAGCGGCAACAACAACAAATCTCGCTCCGGCGGAAATAAGGCGCGCTTGTATTTGAATCTGTCCGATGACAGCGACTCGGAGGGCGCCGGCGAGGATGTGTACAGCGAGGATGAGGACGAGCAGGAGGTCTCGGCCAGCGCATTGCAGCGTTTCCTGACCGTCTGGGCACTGGATGAGTATCTGCCAGTGTGAGTATGAACCAAGTGGCAACTATTCAGCTCAGATCTAATCGGAATCGTGTTTAGTTTTCAGAAACAGGAGATCGATCTGGAGACGCTTATGCTGCTCACGGAGGCGGACCTTAAGTCGCTGGGCCTGCCGCTGGGCCCCTTCCGCAAGCTCACCTTTGCTATACAGGAGCGTCGCAATGCCCTGGCCAATCCCGGGCCCTTGCTAGACAGCCGGCTATAATTAATCGTTATGCTTAGAGCTTTAATCCACGTACTAAAACAAATATAGAAACTACAAATGAGTACTAAGTTTAAACAAGAGTTGGTTCTGCTGCTGTTTGTTGTGGTCTTCGTCTAACCCGCCACCTGCTGCATCATGTACAGGTTAGCGTAGATGCCATTCAATGCCATGAGATGATCGTGTGTGCCCTGCTCCACGACAATGCCGCGCTTGAGCACACAGATCAGGTCCGCATCCCGCACGGTGC